CACCTCCCGTCCTCTCCACCTTCACATCTCCGACGAGCTCCGCTTACGAGCTCCTGCCCTCAGACCCGAACAACGTCCAACCACGCCCCCGTCGACGCCGCCAGCCCTTACAACCGCTGTCCCCACCTTTTAGCCACCGACGAACCCTATCGGAGCCCACCGAGACACCCTGGCAACCTCCTCCCACCTCCGGCAAGCCCGAACAGCAAGGAGAAGCTCCAAGTAGCGAGAAACGAGCCTGAACAGCGACTGAATGGTGAAAAACCGCACTGCAAAAAACTGCAGGTTTGTGCCAACTTCGTGTGCACTTTCCGATCGCCTCTGACCTCCGTTTTCATTGATTTTTTTCTCTGGTGAGTAGACCTACATGTTGCCTATCACCTCCAATTTATATCATGCTCTAACTCACTCTCTATCTCTCTTTGTAATGTCCGAAACATTGCTCGACGGCAGCAGTTCGGAGATTCCGACAGTTTCGTGCCGACTTTGCACGTGCTTTCCGGCCATCTTCGGTCTCTGTTTCCGCCACCGTCTTCACCGGTACGTATCCCTTCATGTTCTCTATCACACGATATATTCCTTTCACTTGGGCTCCTTATCTATACCTATTTATTTTCACTTGAATATCACACGTCTCAATAACACTCTAAGTTGTAATTTTAGCCGTTGATTCTGCGAAACCGTCGTAACGTCGTGCAACCACCCCGGCAACTCCCGCTGCAGTTGACGATATATCCGAGGCAATATTTCTCTTGCTCAGATCTGAATTTTATACATGTTATAAATTATATGTATGTTTTAGTCTGTGATATAATTATCTATATGAGATTGTTTGATGAATGACATTAAATAAATCATAGTAATATGATAATAGCATTTTTAGAATAATTATAATACCTTAAAAGAATTATTTTGGCAACAGAATTATTTTAGAAAAATTAAATCATTTTAGAATAATTATGAATAAATTAAAGGAATTTATTTTAAAAAAGGAATTATTTTAGAATAATTATAATTAGAAAAGAAATTATTTTGTAAGAGGGAATATTAAAAGAATATTTAAAGAATGTTTTTAGAATTATTTAAAAGGAATTATTTTTAGAAAATGGAATTATTTTGAATAATTATAACAATAAATAAAGAATTTATTTTGGAAAAAGGAATTATTTTGAAGTAAATAAATTTATTATTTCATAAGATTATTTTAGAATAATTTTATGATTTCTGATTCTTAATTATGTGATATGCCCTGATATTATCGTACATGATCAGTTGTAATTGTTATTCCTAGTTGTGATTGAGAACTGCTAGTGGTCATGATTGTAGTAGCATTGCGTGACCTAGAAACATGTGTTGTGTTGACTTAGAAAACAATGAGAGTTGGGATGAGGAAGTTATTATTCATGTGATCGGATATGGTTGTTGATATATCTTCCAGGCTCGCGCCAGTGGGTTTGTGTATCCATTGGGGTTGGTTTGTAGGGCCAAAGTGGATTTGTATATTCATTTTGGTCAGTGGGAAATTTATTTCGTCACCCGGGTCCTGCTTGAAGTTCGGACCAGGCAAGAATTGGTTTACGTGCAGTCCTCTGACTTATTTGTGTATTTGTATTGGATGCACGTAGGAGAATTATGAACAGTCGGTTATCCGATGATAGGAGCGTTGACTTTATGTGAGATGTGGACCAGTGACCTGTTGTAGATTGACTAGTTACATGACTTGTTACTTGGATGATTGTTCTGATCGCTAGTCGTATGACCTTATTACCCGATTGATTTTATTTGGATTATTCTGATTATTATATTTTAGTAGTGAATTACATTTAGATTATTAGTATTTTTGTTGCATGTTTCTATTGTTATTACTATTATTGTATTGGTCGTTCGACCGTTTCTATTCTTCCTTTTGGGATCTTGCTGTGTGCCATGCACGCTGACGTACTCCTGTTCTCTCGGGTTGTACGTCAGATTTCGGGGACGGACATGTCTAGTATGATGATGCATTAGAGTCGGAGTGTCTTCCAGATGGGACAAAAAAACAAATTGAAGCTTAGTCATTTCTTCTCTGTAGTTGTTGATAGACACTAGATTACTTATGTAGTACCTTCTTCTTTAGTCTTTCGAGAAACTTAGTTATTTGCAGTACTTCCTTTTTATTTTTGTTGGACTATATATTTTTATATTTTAGTTGGACTATTTTGTAATAAGGGCACATTTGACCCAAACTCTGTGTCTCGAGTGATATTCTATTTGTGATATGTCTCTTTTTCATTCTGAGTTGTTCATTATATTCTCGCTATTGTGATCGGGGACATGTGCCTTCGCTTTATATTTCTTGACGCTTAGCGTATTAGATTGAGAAGACGGGGTCTAGCACTTATCTCTCCTCAGTCTAATACATCGCGGGCTTATTCACATTTCGATTCCCTAGTATTTTGGAAAGCGGGGCGTGACACCAAAACCCAATAAGAACAGGAAACTCAAACTAGGCCTGACCCGTTACGCGATCGACCGTCACGGTCGATCGCGCCAAACGACAGAACCTGAAAAATACTTACAGGGTCTGGCTGTCGACCGCGACAAACGACAGAGTCCAAAAATCGACTACAGGATCTCGCGGTCGACCGTGACCGTCGACCGCGCCAAATACAGACACAATCCATGAGCCTGTGCACGTTCGCGGTCGACCGGCCATGCACCAAGGTCGACTACGCAGCTCCCAAACTGACTCCTGCGTTCCAAAACCTGTTCTTCGCCAAATTTCTTCACGGTTTCTTCATGATTATTATTTTCTTTGATGTTTGTTTAAATTTACTACACCAAATTTAAATTTTCATGGTGAAAAATACATGAAAATAGCATTATAAAAGGAAGACGAATAATCAAAGCTAATAAGATAAGATGATTGGTTAAAAATTGGCTAAAACAACACAAAAGAGAGTATGATGTTTGTTCCTAATCATTGATAGACTTTTTTTAAAAAAATTATACATTAAAGATTTACGCTAACTCTGGCACACTTTTATATGATGAAAGCATCCACGTAAGCATATAAAAGTACTAAAAAAGTACATGAAATTCACTTTCAAATATTCCTAATTTACTTTTAAAAGTATATTCTATAAAATATTAAAAAAAATAGTGTCTTTCATTCCTTTTATTTTATTTCGCATTGAGTTGACATCAATTATTCTCCATCTTTATCTTTTTTGATAAAATTACACTATATTTAGATGCTAAAAGGTGATAGCAAACCTTAAATTGGAAGTTAAATTTATGTATTTTAATAAAAGAATACCACATAGCCAATCTTCTTTTTGACTAAGTTTTGAAAGTTAAGTCTTTTTTGTGATTTTGAATTTTTGGCGGTGTATGTTGCAAAATTTGAAACTTTGAGTGTTTTCTAAAAATTTTAAATTTTAAGTTGGATACTTGTAATTTCCATGTTTTATGTATTGGTGATAAGTTTTTAAATGTGAGGATATTTCTTGCAACTCTAAAATTTTAAGGATATTTTTTAATAATTATTAAAACATTAGATTGTTTTTGTAAAATTTAAAATTTTAGCAATTTGCCGATAAATTTTAGATTTGATATTTATCAGTTATAGGTTTTGAAAATTCAAGGTTTTTTTTGTCATTTTTAAGTTTAAACGAGTTTTTTTATAAGTTTTATAACTTTAAGGTTATTTTCTATAAATTTTAATTTTTCAAATGTGTGATGGTAATCCCTTGCATTCATATTTGTTGTTTGCAAGCTTTGAAATTTTAGAATTTCAGTGTGTTTCCTTATTATTTAAACTTTTGATGGTGTTTCTACAATTTTTAAAATATTGACAGTGTTATTTATAGATTTTAAATTCTTCAGAGGCTGCTGTTAATTTTTAGATTTCATGTTCGTTACTTTTAAGTCTTGAAACGTTAGGATGTTCTATGTAATTTTAAAATTTTAAGGATATTTTGTGTAATTTTTAAAACTTTTTAGGTTGTTTTATAATAGTTCATATGCTACACCCGTTAATTCTTTACTGACAAATTAATAGCATGGAGCTTTTCATGTATTTTATTAATCTTATTTTTTATAAAGTATTGAGCTATAAGTAGTTCAAATAGGATTCAGATAGGATATAATTATGATTAAGATAGATAATATTTAAATAAAATATCTAAAATAATGAAGGGTAATATTGACAATAAAAAGTTTTTTCTCGAACTCGTACTTTTAAAGGGCGTATGAAATATAACCAAACATTGAGATTGAATCTGGGTTGTCGCAACAAATGCTCATGCCGCAACATTTTGATATTATTTTCACAACCCCCCCTCCCCCCTCCCGTGCTCCCCCACCCTCAAGCCAAAAAAAGCAAGAAAGAAGAAGAAAAACCATCTAAAAAGTTTACTAATAAAAATATTATTTTTAAAATCCAAATTCTATAAATTGAATTCATAGTATATAACATTTGATGATTTGTGAGCTGAATTGATTTGATGTTAATGATTCTTATTAATAAAAATTAAATAAAAGATTTTTATTGAAAGTCGAATAATTTTTTGGATTGCAAATAGTTGAAAATGATATTTGGATCCTTTTCAGTTATGTAAAAACTCATTTCTTTCCTTTCTTCCTTATAAAAAATTAACAGAAAACCCCTTCAACTTTCAACATTACCTGTGCGAAGCATAATTTTATAGTGGCAAAAATACCTCCCTACGTAATTTGACCAACCCCCATAAAAATTGCACTTAACGCCATTTGCAGGTTTTATGATAAAGTCTTAAAATTTAAGGGTTTTTTATAATGACAAAAGTTAAGGGACTTTTCTGATATTCAGAAAGTTGTGGGGTGTTATCTGGTTACCGTCCGAAGTCAAGTGGTTTTTCCCGTAAACGTTAACCTAAAATAAACATTGATGGGGATTTAAATGCAAAAAACTCCTTTCTCTCCTTTCTTCCTCTATAAATGGAAGGCAGGCGGGAGGCTCAGAGACCTAGCTGCACCCCGTCGCCTATCGTCTACTTCATTTCTTGCTAGTCTCACCCCTCTTTATTCTCAGAATCCACGCCCCCCTGTTCTCCAAAGAAAATAAAAATTACGGAGAGAAGGAAAAATTAAACAAGCGGAGTCTCTCTAATCAGTAAGTTCTGCTCAAGCTCTGAACTTTTGATTTGGGTTTTGCTTAATTTGATGTTTGACGAATTTGATGGTTTTTCTTTGGTTTTTTTTTAGATTCGTAAGTTTCTTTAGCTGTTTAGTCCTCTGGGTTCTATCTAATTGGGATTTTGATGATTAACACCAACAAAAGTTTCAGTTTTTGCTTTTTTTGGGGGGCTGAAAATAGCCCTTATAAATGACCCACTGAAGTTTTTTTTAAAAAAAGCTATATTTATTTATTTTCGTTTTTTTAAAGCAACTTTTGTTTTGATGACTTTGAGTCCACTAGAAGTAAGATTCCAAACACAAATCAGCATGGAAATGTAAATCCTGTTGAGTTCATAAAAACCCAAAATTAAAAGTGAATGAAATTATGAAAAGAGGTACCCTTTATTTACTTTATGTTATCTTCTCTTTAATTTAATAGAAAACGAAAAATTTATGGAACGGTGAATTCAGAAGGAGGGGATGTTTGTGGGGTTGGGGGTTTTTTGTTTTGTTTTCTTTTTTTTTTTTTTTTTTTGGGGGGGGGGGGGGTGGGGGGNTAATTTTAGCTTTTATATTTTTTGATGAAAGTTATTTTAAAATCTAGGAAATTGTCAACACTTCCACATGTAATTGAGAATTGAAGGAAGAAAAGAGCATCTCAACTACACCAACCTAACGTAAACTTACCAGAGATTTCTCATTTTCATTAATTCACATAGCTGACCACCTACTCAATCATTCTATTTGATGATTTCTAATTTATCTTATATTAATGCATTCATTACTTGCCAATGTGTTAATTTGAACCATGAAAAGGAAGAAAATTGAGAAAAAGAAGAACAAATAAAAATGTCTTATGTGGTCCATAGAAAAGAAAGTCAATTTCTCAGTCGTAATTGTTTATCATTTCATAGGGTAGTGGATACGAGTCATTTGTCCACCAACTTTTTTATCCATTGATTTTGTACCGGTATATGTGCTAGTGTGTGATACAAATCAAGGCACAAATCTCAAAGCAAAGATAAAAAAGTGGGTGGACAATTGCTCATATCCACTTAAATTTATAGGAGCTTTACTCTCTCTCTCTCTCTATATATATATATATATATATATATATATATATATATATAAAGAGAGAGAGAGAGAGAAATAGGTATGCTTGGTACCAAGCACAAACTTTTGTGCTTGATAGTGAGATATCATATTCCCCTCCACTCATTAAAATCGGGGTCCACATTCACATGTGTTGGAGAGTGGTTGAGAATTGGAATGAGGGAATGGTATTGAGATCATATAATAGCAGTTGGTGATATTGACATCATATAATGGAATTACTTTTGAAATAAATTATTCTCTCTTTAGTATTTGAATTTAGATTGACCTGGCCTTCAAAGTTTTCCTAGGCTACAAAGGATTCTAGAAGAAAGGGCTAGGAAAGAAGGTGCATTGATGTAAGAAACTGCATTTTGAGGAAAGGTTCCTTGAGTGTTTTGGGTCGGCTATCCTTATCTCTTTATTTAGGGCTGCTTTTTTTGGCTGCAAGCTAAGTGACATGGAATATGGTTCTTATTTGGACCTCATTCTTATTTGGCTTTGCATCAACTTCTCTTGTCCTGTACTAACACCTCTCTCTCTCTCTCTCTCTCTCTCTCTCTCTCTCTCTCTCTCTCTCTAATTGCTCTCGTCTCCTTTCTTGTTTACAGGGACACCCTCTCTCTAATTAATTGCTCTCGTCTCCTTTCCTGTTTACAGGGACACTAAAGCCTACTTTTGGTTTGGATTTGTGTTAGTTAGTGGTTTAGAGAAAGGTTACTTCTTCTGTTGTTTCAGATATTTGGATGTTTTAGGCATCTTTGATTGAATTACTACCTTACTGTGTGTGAGTCTGATGTTCGTTTGCTTGGCAAGTAGATAGGTTAATCTACACGGATAGTTATGTAACCTTGCTTGAATATTGTTTCTGTCCAAAATGTTTCAGTTTACTAACTATGGTTGTAGACATGCAAATCTTATCATCAACACCTCTCATACAGAGCAAGTATTCAACACATGGTATGCTAGAGGACGGGAGCCCTTCGGTCAATGTAAAACATGAGGGTTTTGGAGATGGATGTATTGATCTGAAGTGTTCTCTTTTTGGTCCACGATTTATCAATAGACCCTTTGGAAGTTCTTTCCCATATGCAACTAGGTGTTCTGAGCTGTACATAGGGCAGTGTTGTGCGCGGCGGAAGCCAAACAACCGATGTGCTTCGAGAAACCAAGCCTATTTTGAATTGTTTGTGGCCTTCTCTCTCGGCGATTGGCTTGGTTTCTCGAAGCACATCGGTTGTTTGGCTTCCGTCGCGCAGAACAGGCAGTTGGTAATCCCAACGTATATCCGACCAACCTTGCCCCTGGGATGTAGTTACAACAAAATAAATTGTCGAAATTATCCTTTTCAAATTACAATTGTAGTTACAATTGCTAATGTCTTGCATACTAAACAATCTTGTGACCAGGCGCTACAAAGTTTGTCAGGAAACAAAATTTAGATATGTGCTAAGTTTATCTCCTGTCTGTAAGAAAAAGAAAAAAAAAACATGCTTGAGTAGTGTGAGTATCAAAATTAAGAAGTAGATTTGAGTTTTTGGCTCTTAGACAACTTAAGTGGTTTTCACAAATTTCCCTTGGCAGTAATCCTGATCTTCATGTTGCCTTTCTGATTGACAGGTTTCATATCAGATACAGCAACTGAAGTAGCGTAATGGAATCAGAAGCAGCCACTATGAACTACTTAAATGCCCATCAACACCCACCAAAATCCCTCCACATCTCCGATGATCCACCGACATCCGATGCACGTCCACTAGGTTTCGACTGCAGCATCTGCCTTGATTCTGCATCCGACCCTGTTGTCACCCTCTGCGGCCACCTCTACTGCTGGCCATGCATCTACAAATGGCTTCAGGTCGACGCCTCAGCCCCTCACGACTGCCCGGTTTGCAAATCTCCGCTCTCTCAGAATTCCCTTGTCCCTCTCTACGGTCGTGGCTCCACCAAACGTCTCGACATCCCCAAAAGGCCCACGATCCAAAGAAACATTAACGGTCAGCATTATCATCCCCGCCATCATAACCATGATTACTTTCCGTCCCCCTGGGGAACGACGGGCGTGTTCAGCTCGACAGCGGGGGGAGTCCTGGGCGGCCTGGCCATCGCGATACTCCCCCTGATGTCGAGGAACATTCGGACGAATAACTTAATGGCTAATGGAAATAGCGCGAGTCAGAGGATACGGGAGATGAGGGTGGAGAACTCACTTCAGCAGATTTGGGCATTTATGTTTTGTTGTGCTATTTTGTGTTTGCTCTTCTTCTGAGTTTGGTGATGGTGTTTGTCGTGCTTAGGTTTTATAGACTTGGATGTTGGATACGTGTTTTTTTTTTTTTAAGAATGAGGAGTTTTTGTATATAGGGGTGCTGCTGTGAGGTACAGATGGATAAGATGAAGGTGTTTTGAGTGCGACTGAGGGAAGGCCTCATGTGAAGATGTCTAGTAATTTATGGACATTCTTGTAATATGTGATCTAGTAATAGGGGTTTACTTTTATTCCCTATATTGCGATGCGTCCTAGGCTCAGAACAATTAAAAACATGTCTTTTGGAACAATTTGGCGATTTCAACAGTGTCCTACGTTGTTCCGGATGCTCCGCATCGATGCCCCCATCGATGCAGGCATCGATGCCTGCCTCTTCTCCATTGCTGTCCGCAGATCCTCTTTGTTGTTGGGCTCTTGGCATCTTTGGGCTTTTTGGGCTTCTTAATTTCTTGAGCTTTAATCCTTCATCATAGCTTGGGCTTTTGGATAATTTGGAAATTGATTTTCCAATGGCTTCATTTCTTCATTTAAACAATGAGTTTTTGTTGAGAGATAGGCGTTCGAGATTTATTCTTCATTAACCTGCAATTCAAATATAAAAACAATTATTAGTGGTATATTTATTCATATAAAATAGATAATGAGGGTATAAAATTGCAATAAAATGTGAGATTTGTATTCTGGTGGTTTTGATGGTTGAAATGCAAAATCTCAATTTACAAGGTTGAGATCCTAAATACCACGATATAATGTAGTTGGGCGGTTGGTATTTAACCATCGAACTAATGATTGTTTCGAAGGAATATTACGAAGGGGAGTGATCATTCGTGATCTTTGTTTTTTATGACATATATACAGGATACACGGTTCCCTTGTCTCGAAAAAGATTGATGTTCCGATAACTACTATGATAATTGGACCCCTCCTATTGTTTCCAGGGGGGCCAGCCCACTTACGTCCGATGCCTATCCTCCCCCATCACTAGGTTTTTGGATGTTTCCCTTGATGTGCCAAGTGCAGTGAGGGGGCAAAAATAAAGTAATAAAAATAAAAATCTATATTTTTCTGTTCTCCAGCAGGAAGTAAAACTATAAACCTCCCTCGCGGCCGAAGGGGTAGATTTGTAGGGCACGTAGAGAGGGTTGAAAGACCATGGGCCGTATGAATGGGCCCACTTATGGCTAAAGGTTCCTCTTATGTTTATATTCTTACCAGCACTCCAACGTGTACCGATGCCTGCACGACCCGAAGTTGTAGGACGAGTTTCATACTCGAATTGTGAAGAAAACCGATGAATATGAATTTGAGTATACTTTCGTCTTTTTTCCCCCCAAGTTTAAAGGCGTTGCTGTGTTTTTTTTCCTCCAAGCGTTAGAACATTTCTTTTTATTTTGTCAAGTATGAGAATAATGTTATTGATTTTTTAAGGGGTTTTTGTCTTTAGGCCCATTTGTGGACCTACATTTATCTTTAAACCCAAGTATTTCAAACTGTATCTTTAACCCCAGTTCACTTTTAGTTTTTGTCTTTAAACCCAATTCTAAAATACAGTATTTTTGACTACTTGTATTTATACAAAATGAATGTAAAAACCCAAAATACCCCTTTGATTGGCCCCATAAAACCTAGTATCTCTCTCTCTCATCTTCCCCATTTGAGATCAGCCCCAACTTGAAAAACGAGATCCCATTTCGTCGTCGCCCGTCTCCAGCCGTCGATGCCCTGCTCCAGCCGTCGCACGCTCGTCTCCAGCCCGTCTCCAGCCCGTCTCCAGCGTCGACGCGTCGACTTCCCCGTTTGAGGTACTGATTAGTCGAAGCTTTTATATTGTTTTGAATTCAAGGCTATTATAATTGAGGAATGGTATTGGTTTTAAAACGTTTTTTAGAAATTTTAATTTTGTAGATTGAGGAATGGAAATTGACTGCATGGAAATAAAAATGAAGAAATTATTGCTGTAGATTAATTTGAAATTGACTGCATGGAAATTGACTGCCTGGAAATTGACTGCATGAAAATATTGCTGTAGAGTTATTGAAGGCTATTATAAATTTTCAAACGTTTCTTGACTTTATGATGTCGAAAGGAAATAAAATGAAGAAATTGTTGTTGTAGATTAATTTGAAATTGACTGCATGGAAATTGACTGCATGAAAATTTTACTGTAGATTTATTTCATGACCTTATGTTTTATGGTTGCAGAAAATTATATATCATGGCTTTAGTGAGAATTCCATCAAATATTGGGTACTTCCGGGACCTTCTAAAAGAAATTTCTGTTTATTTATCGGAAGATCAAAGAACTGCCCTCCGTGGTACTCCTTTTTATGGGTATTTAGATATTCCAGATTTGCCAATGCAACCAGTTATTGTTGATTGTTTGTTGGGAGTATTCAATGATGAAAAAAAAGGTTTCAAAATTGGAGGAAAATGGACCTCCTTCGGTGTTGAAGAAGTGGGGAGAATAACGGGGCTCCCGATGGGAGGATCAATAGTAGACACGCGGTTTCATAGAAGTGACCGCGATACAATCTACAAGCTTGTGCTTTCATATAGTACTACTACTGAAATTGAAGAAGATATGAAGCATATGACTAGAAGTGGAAAGAAGAAAAATGACGAAGGTAAGAAGAAGATTGTTTGTGCTAGAAGAGATAGGATGGGTAAACTTATCAAGCATATGGCCGAGCGTAGAGATCCTCTTTTCCCACAGATGCTTGTTTCTTTCATTATTGGATTTATATTATGCCCTCAAGCTAGTATGAGTTGTCCATTGTTTGCATTTAGATATGCTGAAAAATTGGACACTCTTAAGGAGTATAATTGAGCTGAATTAGTATACAATGTGCTGCGTACTGAGATGAATAAGGCCAGGAAAACCATCACTAAGAGGGCTGAGGGAAATCGATCTAGAGGCGGTTATATGGGGGGTTTTGCCTCGGTTCTAGTGGTAAGTTAACCTTTACTATATTTTTATGTCATTCTCCATTGTATATATTTATTTCATTTAGTCATGTTTATTGTTGAGCTAAAATTTTCATTTTCTCGCAGATTTGGTTTTATGAGCTTGTGGGAAAATTACGCGTTCGCGTAGGAGTAGAATCCCTACCACCTATCCTAAGCTTCTACAAGGGTCCAAGATCTCTACGGAGGAGTGCTGTGCAAGAGTTGATTAGAGACCCAAATAATTTTAGGAAGCATGTGATTGACTCGAGGGCTTCCGAATTTGAAATGAGAAAAGCTGCCCCTACAAGATTGAAGAGAGAGAGAGGTATACATATTTTCATTTTTATTCCATGTTAGTTAATTGCTCCCTATCCTTTTACAGAATGATTTTTATTTGATGTTCATCCCTAAATTGGAGTTACTTGGGCTATTTATGTGTAGGTAATCACCAAAGCTGAGTTGGATCAGCTCATACATGGAAAAAAAGGTGGAATTAGACCTTCTCTTGAAGATAAGGAGGGAAAAAATTGGTGAGAAAGAAGAGGATGTTGATAGTGATGGAGGAGATGAGGATGATGAGGATGATGGCGATGATAGTGATGACAGGGGGGATGAGGAGGAGGGGGATGATAGGGGGAATGAGGAGGATGAGGAGGGAAATAATGAGGGGAATGAGGAGGATGTGGAGGGGGCTGATGAGGGGAATGAGGAAGAGGAAGATGAGGGGAGAGGTGATGGCGGGAATGAGGAGGATGCGGAGGGGGCTGATGAAGATATGGATGAGAAAGATGAGGGGAGAGGTGATGGCGGGAATGATGAGGATGATGAGGGGAATGGTGGTAATGATCAAGTGGACTTGGATTCATTGGAAGTGGATGATGATGCCTTTATTCTTAGCCCACGCTATGTAAGCAAGATTGAAAGCATGCGTAAAACCCCTTCCATCAAAAGAACAGTTCTCTTAAGATCTCGGCATGCTGGGCCATCATTGAAGACTCCTTTTGTCTCGCTTGTTAATAGAAAAGGACGACCAAATTATCCGGGAAGGAAGGAAGTAATGGATGAGGAGAGAGAACTGCTAGATAACTTTTGGAAGGAGAAGAATATGGCCGCGTAAGTGTATTTTGAATGATTTACTTATCTACTTTTCAAATTGTACGAAGTTTATTCATTAATACATGTTATAAATTTGCTTCATATGTAGTGAGACATTAGTGTGGTCGTCTATAGATGCGTTGATAACACGTAAGGATGCATTGGAGTTACTTAAAGGAGAGGCAATTAGTTGCGACGTAAGTATCTGTTCTTTTCATGCCTCACACAATGCGCGTTAGTATATAACACTAATAGTTACAATTTTATTATGTACGATTCACTTCCCTGATATCTCATATATTGTGGATTGTTTTAGCTTATTCATTACTTGTCTCATGTTCTATTTCATATCATATTTAAAACAAACTGAGATAGAAGTACAGCTATGAGAGCTTATTTGTCTATATGCATTCCAGTGCTGATTAGTATTTTATTTGGCTATTGTGTTTACAGATAAACTATGGTTCAGGTCTTATAATTCATTTTTGAAATTTCAGAGCCAACAACTATAAGGTGAGCATATTGTACTGTAAGGGGTAACGTCCTCCTCAAAGCAATGTAGACAAATGTTGATTCATCAAAGATTATAGAACATCAAAACCACCATTTTGCATCAGCTTTCCTTGCCATGATTATCATAGTCAGGCTTCAATTGAGAAGCCTTGCACATCTCTTACATGCACCGATGCAGTCTTACATGCACTGATGCACGTGTTGTAGGTTTTTATTTTTTTGTTGGTGGGTTTTTTTTTGGTTGGGGCGCCCCCTGGCAGGGGGGGGGGGCCTTGAATGTTTGGAATTTGTTTTCGTACCAGTAATATTTACAATTTATTATCTACATTTCAGGTTATAGCCGCCTATGTCGTGCTTCTAAATAGGTTGATGGAGACGCGTCCCAACTATGCAAAGGACATACACGTATGCAGTCCATGGGTAACCGTAAGTAGAAATCCAATCCGAGACTATGTTGTAAGTTTCATAAGCTATATTCATATGTTAATTGTAGGCTGTCTAAAAATCACAATAGATAGTTGATCCCCCATCAAACACCGATGATGGAAGTTACAATCTGACGACTTCCAGAAGGCTACAATCTGACGACCTTCACGACAACTGATGAAAGCTCTAATTCAACAACATTCACAATCAACATCGGGAGTTACAATCTGACGACTCTCATATTTTCAAAGAGCCAA